ACATTTTCAAGGACTTGCTTGAATGCCTATATGTTCATCAGGTAATTCAGGCTTCTGACAATTATGATACTTATCGTTTCGCATTTTAAAGAAAAATCAGTGAGAAAAAGTAAAAATAAAGAATATGAAATATTTCCTTGCCTCCTACATGGGAGCTTGCCTTCTATTAGATATATATATATATATATATATATATATGTATATATGTATGAGTCAATATATATAGATGTCTGACATATATATGAGAGATATATGTATGTATCTGACAGAGCTTCTTTGATTAATGAAATTCTCATCCTGCAGCTGGATATTTATGAATAATCTGTCACATTTTTCTCTTGTGGAGAGGTCTGTCCTATTGGAAAATTATATTTTTTCCCTTGAAAACAAACAAACCCCTTCAACTTTTCTTAATTGAGTAGTGTCTTAGCTTTTCTCTGTAGCTTATAGATACAGCTCATGCTGTAGCTTTTCAGCATAGGCTAATGTAGGTCAGAAATACTTTAGACAGCTGTATATTTACTTCCTATATTATTAACAATTTATGGTGTAACATGCATGTCAAAGGGAGTAGCCAGTTGTAAAAGAAGTCAAAAAAAGCACTGGAAGGCAGTGAAGGAATATAAAGAGCTGAGGAAAGACGCAAAATATACTTTTCCTGAAGTCTTTATTTTCTTTCTCGGCAACTAGCAGGAACTTCCAGGTTTTGCAAGAAGTGTAGGAGAAAATTCTGTAAATTCAGGCAGTTAGGTATGCAGTTGTTTTCTGTGTGAGATACAGAAAAAGACACAACAATCCTACTTACAAGAGTTAAACTCAAAACAAGAGATCGTTGTTTATCCAAATGGGCTGTATCATAAATTAATTTAGGTTATTGAAATTTCTTTGAAAAGAAGTTCACTGTAGTGGTTTGCAGTGCTGAGCAGGAGGTATCGATTATTGAAACATAAAATCAGCAGAAAATACCTATCTTATTTATTGAGTAATCCACCTGAGCAATCAGTGCTAAAAAGCTTAGCTTAATTATATTTGTTATCTCTTTTGAACAAGATAAAAGGATGGTTTGGGATTGACAACGAAGATTTTATTTTTCTCCTCTGTTTCATCATTGTAACTGTTGGTATCCTGAGACATGAACGGCCAGTGAATGGACCACTGCACTGTTAACGGCTGTTCTTTGTGGGGTTGTTTCTGTAGAAGCTTTCATCTTGAAAATTACAGTCTTGGTCAATCCTTGGTCTCCTTCTGTCCAGCTAAAATTATGGGAATTTCTCCTTGTTCTGAAGCTGGAATGGAGGAGATTAGGAAATATGGCAAAATTTGAGAACTTTCCAATCATCATTTATTTGATGTGCCCGGCAATGTCTGCACAGGGTTCCCTGCACTAATAGCTCTTACTCTGATGCTGGAGTTCTTTTTGCATTCACGTTTGTGGCGTAGATTCAATTCAAGGGCAAGTTGTCTTGTGTTAGACATATTCCTCACACTTAAAGCATCTTCCTTTGTTTTGGCAGAGTGGTAACAAAGTCTCAGTAATGACAACTCCTTTCGAAAACACTTCCATCAAGACAGGACCTGCCAGGCGAAACAGCTACAGGAGCCGAATGGTCAGACGCAGTAAGAAGACCAAGAAGAAGGAGAGTTTAGAGAGGTGAGTAATCCTTAGCTTTCATGGTGAATGCAGGTATATAACAATACATTTAAAATATGAAGTTAATGCAGTTTTCTATCTTGTCTTCTACATAGGTTTATCTTCTTCTCTGAGATTCTGTGGCCTTCTAATCTTGTTTTGCCTAAACTAGATCTGCTAAAATAACCTCTAAAAATTTTGCATGGTACATATATAGATATGGAGGAGAAAGTGAATAACTGAGATTACATCTTAATTTGGTTTATCTTTTTGTACTTGTTTAATTAAACTTCCTAGTGCTAAGTTTTTGAACATTTTTAGTTGGATGATAAGTTCAGGTGTACTTTGTAAATAAATACTTTATAGATATTCCTTCAGTTTTGGTGGGTTCCTAAATTATGAAAATGAAAATTTATACTCGTAAGGAGCTAATTGTTCTTCTGAAAATCTGTAAGTAAATTTTATTGTGAATAGATTTAGTTACAGTATCTATCCCACCTATTAGCAAATCAGAATGTTTTCTGAACTTCATGCTCTGCAGTGTGGTTTGCTTTCATATAAAGATAGATTTAATATTTTCATAATAGGAGAGGGAACCAAGAGCTTGCAAGAGTTTTTCTTGTGGTAATAGTATCTTCTGTGCATCTTAACTTACAATTAATGCTGTGCTTTTTTCACACAAGGAGAAGATCTCTCTTTAAAAAGCTGGCAAAGCAGCCCTCGCCTCTTCTTCATACGAGCAGAAGTTTTTCCTGCCTGAACCGATCCCTTTCTTCTGGGGAGAGTTTACCTGGGTCTCCAACCCACAGCTTGTCTCCTAGATCTCCTACCCCAAGCTACCGTTCCACTCCTGATTTTCCATCAGGTGAGTGTGGAGGAGTGGAGGGCAGAGGAAAGGGACTTTAAGGGTATTGTACTTTCTGTGAACAGATCAGATACACTCTGCTGAAAGTAGTCAGCTCTGGCAAGCATGATCATTGAACAGCTAGTTTCTGTCTAGAATAGGGAAAGAAAAACATTCCTGATGCAAAATCAAAGGTGTTTTTATTATACAGAAGCACATAAAAGGAATTGTCTGTTCCAAGTTTGTCCCAGCATTTAAATCTCAGTCCAGTGGCTGTAAATTGAATAACAAACAATCCCAATTTGCAGCAAATGGGGGGATCTTGCCTAGGAGAGGCTAACTGATAAAAGGGTGAAACTGAGGGAAGTTGCTACATAATGGAACTAGCATGGGAACTCATGAAGGCAGATTATTGCTGAAAAGATTGTCTGAGTGCTGAAATATGCATTTTTCTGGCTCTTAGGAGCCTTCCCCTTTTTCCTGTTTTACTTCTATCACAATTGAAGCATGTACTAGAAGTTGACTGCTGTTGTACAATCCCTTGGCAAAGGTAAATAATCTGGAAAGCTTTGATCATTGCTTTGAAGTGGCAGAAAGCATTAGCTGTTCTATTTAAGTAGAAGGAAGAGATAACTGAAAGGGGATGATGGAAGAGGGGAAAAGGGAGAAATAGCAACATAATTGGAATGATGCGGGGTTTGGAGCCCAGCCACTTAAAACCTTGCAGATTTTAGAACACTGTGGCAGGAGATGGAATAGGACTTTTTTTCTGTTTCTCATTGAACATTTAGACAGAAGATTGAAATTAGAAGATTGAAAAGGTCTTCCTGTTCTTATGTTTGCTTGTTTGGGGATTTTGTTCTTTTGTAGGTACTAATTCTTCCCAGAGTAGCTCCCCTAGTTCAAGTGCTCCCAATTCTCCAGCTGGTTCAGGACACATAAGACCCAGCACCCTTCATGGCTTGGGTCCAAAGCTTGGAGGGCAAAGATACAGATCAGGAAGACGCAAATCAGCTGGCAGCATTCCCCTTTCTCCTCTTGCACGAACACCTTCTCCAACACCCCAGCCAACATCCCCTCAGCGATCTCCATCACCATTGCTGGGACATTCTATTGGAAATACAAAAATAGCTCAATCTTTTCCTAGCAAAATGCACTCACCTCCAACTATTGTAAGGCATATTGTCAGGCCAAAGAGTGCAGAGCCACCAAGATCTCCACTGTTAAAGAGAGTCCAGTCTGAAGAGAAACTTGCACCCTCTTATGGCAGTGATAAGAAGCACTTATGTTCACGAAAACACAGTCTAGAAGTGACCCAGGAAGAAGTGAATAAAGAATTATCTCAAAGGGAAGTAACTCTTCAGAGCTTGGAGGAGAATGTATGTGATGTGCCATCACTCACACGAGTCAGGCCTGCAGAGCAGGGCTGCTTGAAACGACCCATCTCCCGAAAACTAGGTAGACAAGAATCCATTGATGAGCTAGACAGAGAGAAGCTGAAGGTCAAGGTAGTAATGAAAAAACAAGATTTTGCTGAAAAAGCAAATGCTGCTATACATGAACCCAGCCATGAACCAGAAAGTGCCAATACCTTAAGACTGGAAGAAAAAGACAAAAAAACATTCCAAAAGGTATTAGAAAGATCAAATCAGTTTGAAACAAAAATTGTTACTTTGGAGACCCAGTCAGCTGGTGGCATACTCAAAGACACCCTTCAAAAGAATGCAAACTTGAGATCAAATGATGGTGTTGCTTTAGATGCACAGATGTTGTGTCATGGCCCTCCCCCTAATGAACTCAGTCATATTTCTTATGACTTCAAAAGAATTTCTCCTCCATGTGCACTGCAGGATGTGTTACCTCAGTCCTCTGACAGGATGCTAAGTGGAAAGGGAGAAAACACAGATAAAATTGTACCAACAAAAGAATTTGCCAAATTTGAAAGATTAGATGGTAAACTTGCAAATATTGATTATCTCAGAAAAAAAATGTCCATTGAAGAAAAAGATGACAGTGTCTGTCCAGTGCTAAAACCCAAGTTGACATCTAATGTTCATGAATGCCTTCAACTTACTACAGGCAGACCCATGAACATACAGCAGGACTCCACCGTATTTGCAGATAGTAGAGCATTTATTGGCAGTGCACATGCTGCCCAGATTAACTCAGTTTCTTTTGTTCCTCTCAAGACCTTGAGTGGCCGAGCAGATGTGAGCGTGGAAAAATCAGCCCTTATTTCCACTGATGCTCCTGTCAGAAAAAGTCCATCAGAATATAAACTCGATGGGAGGTCTGTTTCCTGTCTGAAGCCAATAGAAGGGACGCTAGACATTGCGTTGCTTTCTGGGCCCCAGGCTTCAAAGACTGAACTGCCTTTGTGTGTGCTGCCAGAAGGACAGAGCACCAGCAGTGATGGGGAATCTTCTAAACCCCTAGTGCCACAAGGGAGTGGTGGGAAGGCAGAAATGGTCTGTCAGAAAGAGCAGTTGTTAAGCTACTCAAAATCTGGCAAAGTCAACATAGCAGAGCCTCAGGTTCTGCACACAGGCAAGGGTTCTCCAAATCCACCAGTCATCCCTGTGGCTACAGAAGCAGTGACAGAGAAAAAGGTTTCTAGTCCAACTACTAAAGGCAGTATTTCTGTTATTGAAGCTGTTCAAAAGAAAGATACCTCCCCTTCAAAACAGAAGGACAATTCAATGGAGGCAAAGTCTTGTGTTACTCAAAGTGAGAGTGTTAAAACTACTCAAACATACTCCAAACTTTCTGCTGTCCAAAGCACTCCTGAAAAAGCTGTAGTAAAAGAGAAACAAATACAAAAGGACTTGCCTACCAAACAGCCAGTAGCCCGGAGAGGTTGTGAGCCTATCCCTGCAAAGGTGGAAGTGATCAGGGAATCATCTGTGAAGGTATCTACCTCAGATGTCATCATAACAAGCTACTCCAAAAGCAATGAAAAAAGTTGTGCTGAATTTGCCATTCCACCTCAGATGCAAGGAAGAATACAGTCAGCTGCCCCCAAAGCACAACCTAAGGATGGCAGAGAATCACTGAAACAGCAAGGAAAAGATGACAGCAGTGTTGTTAAAAGTTTTGTGGAAAGGGACATAATTAAGCAGAAAGTTGAATGTAAGAAGATTACCTCAGAGTCAAAGAGTGAAGCTCTTGCATCCAAATGTCCTGTGCAACCCTCAAGAGATTGCGATAATAAAACTGAGAAGTCTGCACCAGTTTCCTCTGTGCAGAAGGACAATGCCAAAGATTTAGGAAAGAAAGATCATAAACCACTCGCTGATACCAGGCTTCAAACTTCTGAGAGAGAACAGTCCAGCCAAGTTCCTCGGCAGCAACTTAACACTTCAGGCTCACCTGCTGTGAAAGACACAATAAGCAGACACTGCACTGTAGAAGTTCATGTAGGTGTTCAAGAACACGTGAAACCTGCTGCCACCTGTGTGGAAAGCAGCACTAATAAACACAGGCTAGCCTCTGATACAGGTTCCTCTAAGTCTAAGTCCTTGGATAAACAGACATTGTCACAAAAACCATGCATTCCAACCATAAAAGAAAAAGAAACTGTTACTCAGTTGTCTGCCAGCTCCCGGAAGGATGGGAAACATGCCAGTAAAAATGTGCTAGATCACCTTCCTTCTGTTCCAGGCTCTTCAAGAAGAATGACCAGTGAAAATGTGGAGACTGAAAGACCTGTGAGTTTGGGTCATGGTTCAGTCACCACCCTCCAAATGAGCAGCACCGCCCCTGACACCAAACCTAAATCCTCTGCTGTGGGCCCATTACCAGCAGGCCTAGAGAGTTCTAAGCAAAGGCAAGAACCAGCAGGCTCGGGGGAATCTGCTGATCAAAAGCAACTTCACTTCAGTGAAAAACAAACCACGTCTCCAAAATTTTCCACTGTGAAAGACTGTCTCTTGTGGAACAAAGAGGCAGACAGAAATCCCAGTAACGAAATGATCTCTGCAGACAAAAGACCCGAAGGAAAAATATGCACTGACGCACTTTACGTTCAGCTTGACAGTGGGAAATTAGAGCCCACCCTTTGTCTTTCAAACTGTGATGCCAGAGGGAAAGGAGCAGAAAAAGTGACCACAAGTAGCAAAAGCTCTCAAGATATAAAAGGGAAGGGACAAGTTAATCAGAAACACCCAGAGGATGCAAACAAGCAGACTGCAATAAAACATTTGTCTGCTGCCAGCGGGCAGAGTTCTTATCGTGTGTCTACAATACCAGGAAAGCCGCTGACTTGTTCATCCAATTTCTCTGAGTGTAGGCAAGAAGTATCTGTTTTGTCTTCAGCCAAGAGTGATGCAATTTCAGCAAAGGTTAAAGCAGGCTCACCTGAGCTTCCTGCAACTTGCAAGGAACTAAATAAGAAAAGCACCTCTTCCACAGGGAGCAGTAAGGCAGAAATGGCTAAAAGTGTTTCATTGATGGCCTTGCACAGTGCCACTGTTGTAGCAGAAGCCCACCGCCCTACTTCAAACCTTGTGGGGAAACCTGGAAGTCAAGAAAAGCCTCTTTTTGTTAACACTGTGGATGTAAAGGGAAAAGACACCATTCTGGCTCAGCAGTCTGCTTCAAGAAAACAGAATGTAGGTAAAGATTTATCCAGGTCAGCAGCCACACCTGACCGCCCTAGTGCACTTTCAGACGACAAAGACTCAGCCCGGCAGCGTCGAGGAAAGGAAGTTTCGCGGAGCAATGCTCACAAAAAATCCTGTTAACTGTAAGACCCGGCAAGTGTGAATTCAACACTAGCTGAAACAATTTCAATATGTCGTACTGCCTTTAAACCAGCACTGTGTCGTGTGTTTGTGCTGCAAAGTTTTCATGTCACTGAAGAAACAATACAAGGGGATATGTAAAGAGAGGACTTTTTTCAAAATGCCTTTCCAATTGAAACCGGTAAAACTGTTACCATATAGTATTTGTACAAAAATACAGCCAAGAGCTGTTGAAGAAAATATTTCCTCTGTAAATACTTAGCGATGTGTTTGGGGGTTGAATGTAGCATATATACTTCGCTGCTGGTTGCGTTGTTTCCTCTTTCCCTTCTTAAGATAGTTGCTTAGCCACTTATTTGCCATACTGAAACATGAAACCAAATTATTAAAACTCAGACCTGGCATGGACATGCTCAAGTATTGGTCTGACTGGAGAAAAAGAAAACCAGGCCACATTTTTACTTACTAAAAATCCGAGATAGAAGTTCAAAAAAACTACTAGTACAGAATAAATATGGTGACCTATTGTGAGTTTTTACATGTATTTTTAATAATTTGATTTTGATAGTACTGTACCTGGCTGACTGCTTCACCAGATGTAACACAAGACATAACTGCATCTCCCTACTGCACAAAGCCTGATTAGAGTAGGTGTCCTTAAAGCTATGGGAAGACCACTTAATTATCAGGGCATCCCAGCAAGACTTGTGTTCTGTGGTGAAATGGTGGTTCTTGTCTATTAGGAGTGTGTTCTGTGACCTTCACCTCAGACAAGGCTCTAACTCTCTGAAGCACATGCCATGTGCTCAGTTTTTGCTGCAATCCTCTCAAGTTCCTTGAGCTTTTTTAAATTCAGGCCCTTACAGTGTGAGGCACAAGTATAAGCACATGACTGGTAGTACTAGTATGTTCATCCCCATTTTTAATACATTTAGAAAATATATATTATGGCATATAGGTCTGCATAGTTAGTGTCATAATGCTATAGCTCTTTTCTATTTTATGACAAGGTAAAAAGGAAAAAAAGCAGTTTCAGTAGTTTCAGTATCATATCTTCAGAAAAATTTAGGGTATCTGATACATTTTAATACATAGCTGGGGCCTTATGTTGTAGACTTAACTTGCTGTTTTTAGCAAGTAACTCTGGGTTTCACATTCATTTCTAAATGCATTAAGTAGCTCCATACATTTCATAACATAATCTTTTTATTTGTATGCAAAAAAGTAAAATACTGTAATTTCAAAAGAAGCATTTTGTAACAGGAACCCATTGGAGCTATTTGGTGCTAGAATGTTACTGTCTTTTTACTTTTGCTAAGCCTTATTTAAATTTTGTATACTGTGGAACATGTAGACTTTGTTAGTGTGGAGGTATTTGGTTTGTTTTGAGAGATGAAAGGTAAAGTTTGAAACATGTACAGAAGCACTACAAAATGCCCTTGCAGTAGCATGGGTTTTAATAATTGGGGATCAATAGAATGGTTGTTTTGCTTATTTCTGTTTTCTGTAACCACAGTAGAGTTAGGCCCCTACTTTTACACCAATGCTTACAGTTTGTCTTTCTGTCTCAAAAGCTAGAAAATTGTTTATAAAAGCACAGTGTAATCTTGACTTGGAGACTTGTGTGACAATAGACAGTGTGCAGAATTCATTTCCCTCTGCTGAAAACTTCATTGTACTGACGAATTGAGTTGGCTTACAGCAGAACTGTCAGGAAAAGCCAATATCACAAACAACTTCTGATCTTTCATGTGGCACTAGAACATTCATACTGCCTTTGATGCATTCACAGAGGAGCTGGTGAGCAATGGATAATAATTTTTGAGAAGTTTAAACAGAAAATGGTCTCAACATTTACAGTTCATCTGTGCTTTGGCAGTTACTGCAAATGAATGCTAATGCACTTCAAAATAACATTTCTGTCTGGAAGGTATTTCCTGGTTTACAGTCTCTGCATTTTTTAACAATCCTCTTGTTTCCTTTAAAGCACATCTAGCTTTTGTTTACAGTATACCTTTATGTATATTTTGTATAGTTCATTATCACTTCTGACAAATAAGTTCTTTGCATTTTGGAAGTGTAACAGTGCATAAGCTTGTGTTTATGTAGTACCTGTTTGTTGATGTTTACTTTACCAGTGAGCTGTTAAGAGATCCTCCTGCCTGTGTTCTTCTTGGTCAGTCTTAGTGTGATTGTAGATCTGATGTGTTCTTTTGTAGACTTCCTGCAGTAGAGTTCTCAGCTTACCAAAAAAAAAGAAAAGAAAAGAAAAAAAAAAAAAAAAAAATTGTTAGGGTCTGTGCAATAAAGTGTTTGCAGTCTTATTTTCTCTAAGAAACTCTTTATGGATGTCATAATTGTTATATATTGAACACAATTATTTATACTTATGCAGTTGCATAACATTGAAATAAAAATTCAGCATGAAACACTGTTGTGTTAGCATTTTTCCTTGAACTGCTCTCACTGCTGTAACTTAAGGCACATCTCTGCTCTACTCAGAGGCGGGCAGTTTTTTTTTCTTTGGGGCCAACTCAGTGCACCCCTTAAGGTACATGCTGGCAGAGGGTATTGCACGAGGAAACGCAGTTTGGTCTGGGAACAGAGGAGGTCGGCATTGCTGAGTGTCTGATGTCAGGCTGGAACCACTGCTTGGTGTTGGATTGGTAGGTATGGTGCGATGATGGACAACATATCTTTAGTAGCTAACAAGGGCAGTAGGTTGTAATGTGACATATAAATCCTTCCTCCAGAACATACATTGTCATTACTATAGGAGCAGTATCAGTTAAAATACACATCTCTTTACTGTTCTGCTGCTGGTAACTCTCCATAGCTGCCCAGCATGTGGGAATTTGTGTACACATTTTATTATTACATTGTTTTCTCTGTGTTTTTCCTCTGTACAAAACTAAGTGCAGCAGTGTTACAGCATCACTTTTGCAGCTTCACTCCCTGTTTGAAACAAATAGGTGAGGGGAAGCTGCAGATCACTCCCACTTTTCCAATTTGCTCCAGGCCACTGGCAGATAGTCTTGCAAAACTAGTACACTGATGGGTGATGGGTTGAGGAAGGAAGAGCAGGATCCAGCAGGTGAGGGAAAGGAAATTACAAGAGTTGAGGATTGACTGAGTTTCATGCCTCCCTGGCTGTACACAGCAGCCATCACCTCTGCCTGGGGAGGCACAGAACCCTGCATGCTTTGTGAGCCTCCATAGTGTTCAGGGCCAGAGGAAAGGGGTGGTATATGGAGTTTGCATTAATTAAGTCAGGAGAGGCAGGTTATCAGTATTGTATGTGGCACAGCCTGTCATCCTCACTTCGACTGTGGTAAGAAAAGACGGCACCTTATTGGAGATGGGAACACTTTCATGGTCTGCCAGGGAAATGTGAGCTCCCTTCCTCAGCACTGAACTCCCAGTTCGCTAAGTCCCCTTAGGCTTACTGTAGTCTTACACAGTCTGTAAGGCTTAGCAGGGATGTCTAGCTTGGATTTGGATCAAAACTCAGGTCGTAGCTAAGAAAGAATAGATCACAGGACAGGAAGATACTGGAGCATGTATGGATGCATGTCTCACTTCATGCCTTGGCTTAGCAACAGTTTTTCTTTCCACTGACTGTATAGTGTAGTAGTTGATGAGAACTGACCAGCTCGATCTCCCAGATAGCTGCCAAGGATGCATTTGAATGAACTGAGGGTAGAAATCACAGAATGGTTTGGGCTGGAAGGGATGTTAAAGATCATCAAGATCATCTAGTTCCAACTGCCCTGCCATGGGCAGGAAGTGATGCTAAAACTATGGTTCAAGCTGCAAAAAGTTGGGAGCATCAGGAAGAGTGGAGAAGACTGCAGAGTAAGCAGACAGTAACAATGCAGTTGTTGTGTTCTGGTACATGGCAAGCCCTACCAAATGCAGGTATGAATTATGTACAGCATGAAGAGGATGTCCAAGGGATTCAGTGGAGAAGAATGTCGTCTTCTGCTGGGAGAGAAGAATTTCCATCAGTTTTGTCAGATGAGGGAGGTATGGTGTAGAGTGTTTGGGAAGGGATCTTGACTGCTCTTTTTCCAGCTACAGATAAGACTAGAGAATGAGAGAAAGTTCTTAAAAGATGTACCATTGACATCAGGGTGTGTTTTTTTAAGTCAACATATGTAGAAATTGGCCCATTCAAAACAGAGTAAAATCCTCTTTCAAAAATTGACTTGCATTTTACTGAGAGCACCTTGTTTAAGCACAGTTAGGGAAGGAAGAACTTGGCTCTGAGTTTTTGTTTGTCCTATTGAAATAAAGGTAAGAGCTTACCAGTCTCTGAAATGTGACTTCCTAATGAATACATGCTCAAGTTCCTTCTCTGTGTAAATACCGATAAATTCCATGTTGCAGTGTCGAGTTGTACCATGACTTCAGAGACATCTGTAGCCCAGGAGCCAGCAAGGTGGTAAGTGAAGTCTTGTTAAGCACTATTCACCTCGAGCAATTCCCTTGTTCTCTCTGTGCTGGCTCCATAGCTGTGTTTGAAAAAATAAGAGATAAAAGGCCTGACTTAAAACTAAAGAGTGCATCACATCAGAGATTGATTTGGTAAGCAGTTCTTTAAGGAAAAAAAATCTGCTGTCTCTTTCCATTTATATCCTTATTAGGTAATCCCAGAAGACTAAATCTTTGGACTTAAAAGTCTTAATATATAATCTAGACATTTTAGTATATTATATCCACAGATAATTTTTCCTTCAGAATAATCAATCCCTGTATTTAGGACTTCTGCATCCTGAAACACATAGCATGTGCTGTTCAGCATTGTTGTTTGCACAATGTCTTATGAATGGCTTTTTTGCAGGCAAATAGAGGCGAGATGACACTGTAAAGACAAAAAATACAACATACAGTAATACAAAATTACATACAGTAATCTAAAACAAGTTGGGCAGAGAGAAGGGGGCGGATTTCAGGGAAGTCTTAATACTCTGTGTGCAAACAGATACTGCACGGGAACACATTTCGCCTTCTCAGCCATCTTTGAGTTTTCACCAAGTGAAGTCTACACATGAATTTACACTGCATTAGGAGGCATTTCAGAAACTGGTGGTGGTTAAATCCTGTGGTGGTCTCTCCAAACAAAAAGGCCTTTCAGAATACCTTTCAGCCCAACATGCAATTTCCCTCTCCAGTCACTAATATTTGTGAATCTCACACAGTTGCTACCTGATACTTGTGGGAATTTTTTTATGCCTATGGAGTGTTACACTCCCTTTTTAACATCACTATTTGTCTAACACTTCCCTGAATCCACGACTTTGAGAGGGAAACAATGGAAGAAGCAGGTCTTTCTTGAATGGTACACACACTGGCAATCATGCTGGATTATTAGATAGTGGAGGTTGCCCAATTAAGCAGTTGGATTTGCAGAGGGAGGGGAAAATGCACCTTGAACCCTGGGCTCAGTTCAGAAATATCCCTGCCTTGCTCCCAAGGACAACTTAGGGTGTGCTCCCCTTGGGCAGCATGATGTGCTCAGGAACAGTTCTCTCCCTTGAACAGCCCTTGTGAACAGAAGGGCTTGCCTGGGGTTGGCAGCTCATGTGGCTTTGGTGTTGGGCAGCTGGAGTGCAGTGACTGCTGATGGGGTCAGGAGGGGCTTCAGTGCAGGAAGGGTCAGTGGCCACAAGAACAGGGAATATGAACCAGCAATACAGAGAGCTGTGAGGAGAGGCAACGCTTTGGTACCCCAAATTTGGGTGTGTTTGTAGGCAACTGAAAAAGGAAGCACATGTGGCTACAAAGAGGAGGAGGAGAAGCTGCAGGGTAAGGCAGTGGCAGTGATGTGAAGGCATCTGAAAGCCGCAAGAGTACACATTGTATGCATCTGATCTGCTAATAGACAGTAAAAGGGGCTTTTCATGAGAGGTAGTTCCTACCAGAGAAGACCAAGCTGGGACTCTTGTCAGCAGTATCATCAGAAATGAGCAAAAACTTTCTAATCCAGCAGGAATCTTAGAAACTTTAGCTAGTCAGCATGTTACAGAGGACAATGTTGAGGAAATGCCTTTGGGCTGGAGCTGAAGCTGAATGTGGAGTCTGGAAAGTGCTGAGAGAAAGCAACTGCATCTCCTGGCATAACACAGCAGGGAGCCATGCTGGGACAGGGCAAGACTCCATGTGGTGCGTGCTCTGCAATGGAGACGGAAGGGTCATACCCCCCCCCCCAAGAAGGTTGTGGCTATACATCTGTATTAGGCTGTTATTAAAGCACTAGTGACATAAATCACTTTATGGTAACACAGGGCAGACGAGCAGGCGCATCAAGCTTCCATTAGATCCTTGATCAGATGCACACACTCTGTCTTGCTACTGGGTTTATTCAGATGTGATGGCAGAGAAAGTGATTTGGTTTTATGTAAATAATAACAAGGCTTTATTCCTGCCTAGCTGTTGCATATCTCATTGAAGCGGAAAGACTCTAATTTTACTCCAGGGATGCCCACCAGAAGCCCTGTGAAGTAGCTGTTGCCACGAGGTGCACCTGTGGGATGATGATGTCCACTGCACTGCCCCCTCTGCAGCCTCTAGTTTTCTCTCCTGGGCTGCAGGTGGAAAGAACAGTCTACTCCAGGCTGGCACAGGAATGTCTCATAGCTATTGCCACTGGGGTTTTTTGCCCTGTGCAAGCAAACATAGTGCCAACAGATCTTGACCAAATCTACGAATTTTATGGTTAAAGATGAAATGGTTGCCAGTCTCTACTTATTGTGGAGTCTAGAAAATAGCACAGGAGCATAGCCTGCCTCAGGGTAGGAGATGCACAGACAAGGTCCAATGGTCAGGAATTTTCTAAAGATCAAGAATATTTTAAAGAAATATTTTAAAGAAATCATAGAAGTGATACAGGCTGTTTCTGACAGTCCTGCAGGAATATGTCTTACATGACTATGAAGTTGTGCCTTATTTTCACAGGTAGTTTTTTTACTTTTTAGCAGAGTGGGGTACACTACTGCCAGCTCTTAAACAACATTGCTTTTCAAGGATATTTGACAGAGGGTGGGATTTGGTTTTTAATTGGTTCTTTTTTGGTGGTTTTTGTTCGTTTGGTTGGTTTTGAGAGTGATGGTGGTAGAGTTTTCTTTTTTTAAAGAGAAGATTTGCCCTTGGATCTTACCTTTACAAGTGCATTAGCCATACTAGCTGGTACACCAGAGCTAACCTTGAGTTGGACAGAGATTTCTCTATAAGATAAGTTATTTATATTCAAGGCTCAGGTCATAGTTTGTTTTTTCAGTTCTAATTTTTTCATTATTTTTCTAAAAGTTATAATACAAAGGGTATTACAAAAGTTAAGAAAAAAAAAGTCACAAACAAAAGCAGTAAGATATCTTTCAACATAATACAATTGCTATAGATATTTTTCTACATCTCCATAATAAACATATATTCGCTGCTAATTTTGCTGGAAATACAAAGCACCCTGAATGAACATGGTACCATGGGAGAAAACAGCCAGGACAACTGCAATGATTTCTGCTGTTTTCATCCCACAGGAGAGCGAGACAGTGGCCAGCTGACTTCCAGCTAGTGATTGGAGTTCAGAGCACCTTGTTCCTTCAGGGTCCTCAATTTTATTCAGATTTGGCTTGTACCAGGTGATTAAACCAATATTGGAGCAGGTGCAGTCCAGAGGGGTAACTTAAATTGATTATGCAGTGGCCCAGTTTTTGGAACTTGGTTAAGCACTGAAATGTGTCAGTGCTTAGATTTCTGAAATGCCTAACTGCTGATGGAGATCCTTGACAGAAATATTACAGAGGCCTTGTAAAACGTCTGGGCTTATGTAGGGCTCCTTTTCCACACCACAAAATGTTCCCAGCCAAAGGGTGTCAGCTGTGGAGTTCTATATCCGTGCCAGGACCCCAGAGATGTCAGCACAGCCTCTGAAGTCCAAATGGGACTGGAAGGCTCCAGGTTCAATGTATGTAGTGTCATTGCCTTTAAAGATGAGAGTTATATTGCTGATATTCTGCAGAACATGCACATCTTCTGCTGTGATTGCTCCTGTGTTGTTTGTTTGAAAGTCGAGGTATTTGAGGTTTTGAGTGGGAAAGCTGGGAGGAAGCTGCAATGAAGAGATGTGGTTGCTGCCCAAGATGAGGGTATCTAAGCCGTCCAGATTTGTCATTGGAATGAAAGACATACTGGTTATTCCTGTCTGTGTTAAGACAAGCTTCTCCAGGGAACGCGGGCCAGCAAACACTGTGTGAGACAGAAACATGAGCAGGTTTCCTGTCAGCAAAGTTGTCTTCAGCTGCCTGTTGCTGTGAAAGGTGCCATCATAACCCGGTTGATCTGACACCTTGAGAAAACAATAGAAAGCAGCATCAGTGGCCTGTCTCGCAAAACTCTTCTGGTATATGTGATTACCCAAACTGAACCTCATGTCTGTAAAAGCTCATGATCAGTTGCCTTCACCACGATAAAAGTGTCTTTTTCAGTGATGTTTATCTGGTACTTTTAAGTTCACATTTAATTACAGGGTTCTGCTGAGAAGAAAAACCTGCCCTGAAATGGTGAGTGTGAGGAGGCATTTGTGGGAGGCAGGGAGACAGGAGGTTTTTAGTGTCCAACTTAATAAAATGAAAATTTCCAAGGACCAAACATGTCTTTCTCCAGATTTTAGGGAAGAATATAGAAAAATGAATAAAAACCTGCTGCAGTGACTTTGCTGTCACTACTGTCTTAGAAGCAGCAATATCTGGAAAATGCCTATTTCACCCACTGTTCTACAAATGATTGTTATCAGGGGAGAAGCCTAGATATTGCCCAAGTGGATCAATCTCTGCTTAGCAAAAAAACTCACCAGCTATCTGAAGCTGTCTGAAGGTGTCCCTGTGAAGGCAGGGAGATGCTGCTATGGTGTGCTCCAGAGGTCTCTGTCTCTGGCAAGAGCAGGGGGTTTCACCAATGTGATGAGCAGAAGTGAAGATGCTCCTTCCATACCTTGTTAAGTCCAAGGAGAGAAGAAACTTCAACTCAGAGAAGGTTGAATCCTGGAGGGAAGGCAGCACATTGAAGCTGAAGCTGAGGATTTCTGTTGTGACAGGTACTTTTTCAGAAAGCTTCCTCAGTCCTAAACCTTCATGGCTATGGCTTTTACTTGCTGTAATCTGTGGAAGATATACAGTGAAGCTGAAAGAGCTATGTACTGTGAATATAAATAGGAAAATAAAACCCAACTAGCACAACCCCCAAATAAACCCAAACAGAGTTTTGAATTATTTAAAATGCAGCAGCCAAAACCCTAGGAAGCCTCAGCACAAGCTTGCAATGGACAGCCCGGGGGTTTTGTGGAGTGTGTTTTTAAAATGAATACCTTGAAACTCTCTTGTACTAATTTGAAGTGAGTTTCATTTGCAATACTTTCTTATCAAAGTTAGCACATACAAGAATTGTTTACTCTTCTGGATGAATTATTAATCCTTAAAAAAGCATTCCTACAAAGTAGTTTTAAATTCCAAATATCATGAGTCTTGTAACAAAACTTACTACAAGAGAAGTCTTAAGTAAACCTTACAGAAAGGAGGTAAAAAAAAGCAGGTCTGGAAAATGTTGGATATGAACTACATTTACACGCTGCAGTGAGAAGACAGCAGGAATGCTAAATCTTAAAATGTCCATGAAGGATTTTCAGCTTAAGTGAAAAGAAATCAATTTATTACACAGAGAAGTCTACTCTGTGGCTACCAGGGAAATTCATTAAATGTGCCTGACCCACCTTTGTCTGGTGATTACACAGAAGTCAACCAGAATCTGGGAAGCACCATCCTGAAACAGGCTGCCTTACTGCTCCAAATGCTGGGAGTGCTCAGAGCACTGCCCTGGTCCCAGCTGCCACACTGCAATGGGGAGTGTGAGCACAGCCAGTGCAGCACCAGCCACCTCCTCACCCAGGCCCAGCCTAGAGAGGTTGGGACCCTGGGACTACATGGGAGCTGCAGCTTTGGCAATACCCTTGCCAGTCACCTTGCAGACGTTCTGCTTGTGGGTAAGTAAAAGCATGTGTGGCACAGCTGGCCAGCACAAGCACTTTAGTTGATACAAAGCAATTGTGCTAGTGGAGCAGAGCAAGCAGGGGCAGCAGTTGTGTGTTCAGAGGGAAATGCCCTGGAGCCTGGAGCCCGTGACGTGTAAGGGAGAGCGCAGATGTACACCCTGTGGGTGGGAGCACGTGGCCTGTTGGGGTTTGCTGAGGTGCATCTCTGTGGGCCCTGGGGAATAGTCTGAGCATGGGGCTCAGGTCGTTCTGTCGACATGCAACTCTATTTCAAGCTAAACCACGTCTCTGCCTGTCTCTGGCTTAGGAGATGCAGGTGGGCAGTGTCAGCACTCAGCAGCTTCAGAGGAGAGGGCTAGTTAGTAGTATTTGTTGCAAGCCACAAACTGGATATGGTGAACACTTTCTTCCTTTCCTTTAAGCACAAATCCTGTAACTGGATGCTGTTCAGGGAGTCTCTGTGAGGCAACATGACCTGACACTGCTCCAGGCACTGCAGCCTGTTAGGCAGTGGCAGAGAGATGCTGGCAGCAGCATGGTGGAGGAAGTCTAGAGGGACTGTCACCACAAAATTCCCCATCTGGGTGGAGAGTGCAGCTCCTCTACTGTCCTGCTCCCTCTGGCATGCTAGGTCCCAGCTGGAGTTCTGTGCCAGCTGGACAGCACCCAGGGACAGGACCAGCAGAGAGTGACAAGTCAGTGCTGAGCCGTGGCCGGGGGACAGAAAGCCACCCCAGTACCTGCTGTGATAATACTTGTGATAGCACAGGGACTCAGGTCCAGCCTAGAAGAACTGAAATAATACAGTATCAGTCACTACAAAAATGGGAAAATACTGCCTTAGAAAAGCTGATGCTTTCAGTACTGATAAGCAAAGAAAAACCTGTGGAGCTAACTGCTGCTATGTGCAGTTTAGACAGATAAAAGTTATTTAGCTGTCATTATAAAGGACAACAGTGCCTATGTTTTGCCATTCAAATAAAACAGTGAGTAAGCAACTCTCCATGTGCTTCAGGGCATGAAGTGGCTCTCACAGGGAGCTGAAGAGACACTATCCTGATGGGGATCCTGTTGTACCGCTCTGAGTGCTCAGGGATTTGTAGATTTAATTCAACGAGGAATTTGTTATTGGCCCCAAATGTGTGCTGCTTAAGGCTGCTTTTCCATTACGCTTCTTCCCTGAATCAAAAACCTTGACTTTTTTTCTGTTGTCTCCCAGTTGGAATAGAAAAGACAACAGAAGAAAAGATAAGACAACAGAAGAAAAGATTAAAAAAAAGAAAAATCTTATTGGGTCAGTTTTTCTTCTACCTCTGGAAAAACTCTGTTATTTTCTTATTAATTTCATGTGGTATTGCATACTGACCAAACAGCAAATAGAGACGTCATCATCCCAGCACTGTGTACAAGTTCCTGTATGAAGAGCACAGCACAAGAGACAAAAATCCTCTATCTGGCTCTCATACCTCTTAAATACCCCTGTGAAACTTTATCATCCTTCAAGCTCTCTGAGGGATGATGGGCTGGTTTGATCAAACCAGTGCTGGTTTGATGGGCTCCCAAAGTCTCCATCAGTGGTGGGAGAGAGTGTGAGGGTGCACAGATGTGCAGGTGTGAGGATGAGGAGGGACAGTGGCTGATGTCCCTAAGCATATATCAAGACACCTGCCTTATTTCTCTGACAAAGACCTTCAAATTCCCCTGAGATAAATCCCTTGGGAACTGGAAATATTGGAACGTTAGCAGGCGGGTAGTCACCTCAGATGTGTCCAGCTCCTGTATATCAAGAGGGACTGGTGTCTGTCACTCAGCTCCACGCACATCGTCTCTGCAGCACCAGATACTTTGCAGCTGACACAGGCAAGTGCTGTGAAAACCACAGGCCATGATGGAGAGAGGTGGGTTGCTCCACTGGCTGATCTTGTGCTGCCTTCCCTGAATGAAAGTGAGACTGACCAGAGATCAGATAAACTGGGGCACTTGGCTAGAAAGCAGGTTGCCAGGAAAAAATAAGCTTGCTGGACTTCCCAGACTCAGTGTGAGCAAAACAATAGTTTCAGAGCGAAAGAGGAACTTGCCTGCTTTAAATATAGCCAGTTACTGTGCACTGATGCTTTTCTGGAGCAGAACAGATTTTTAAAAAGTGGAAACTGAGGGAAATCGGTCTATGCTCATGTAGAGTGAAATGTCTCTGCTAAGTACAGGGTAGTGCAGAAGAGACTGTAGCATCTCACCAAAGGGGAATTTAGTGCAATGGGGAGTTTGAGTTGAACAAAATTTGATAAATCACTTAGGAAAGGCACAAAATCTTGTAAAACAGCTGAAGGCCAGAGTTCTGCTTTGTGGACTGGTAGCAGTGGTGCACTTGGTGGTGTTAGTTTTACAGTGGACTCAATGACGTTATAGGTCTTTTCCAACCTAAACCATTCTATGATTCTATGACTCTAAGATTTTTGCCTGTATTTCTGGAAAAAGGATTGTGATGCTTATGCATGACTCTTGCAGTAGAAACAGTAGAGCTAAAAAGCAATACTTCAATCTGAAAATGAACACTCTTTCTCTTGTATTTAGCTTACAGGGAACGATCAGTTTTTTGTAATGGGACAGTATAACTAACCATCGCTAAGATGGCTCTGTGTGTGGCAGCTGCAGGCAGGAGGGGATCTTGTGCCAGCCAAAGATGTCTGGTCCTCACGGCCCAGGACAGCACTGAGTGCTGACTCTGAGCCAAACAGCTCAACTTGCCTTTTTCTTTCCTTTCTTAAATGACTGAGTTATCACCTTGACAACTCTGTCTTCCGTAGGCTTAAGCAGCAGTCTTTCTAGAAGAGTAGAGAAAGGTGTGATGAAAACTTACTGGGTTCAGCAAACATGCCCTAGCTCGATAGAGCTGATCCAGCACCAGTAACTCAGTCAGTGAAGGCTCAAGCAATCAAGATGCCAACTGGAGAGCATCAAGCTTGACACCCGGGAAGGTGGAGATACCTGAGCTTCTATGGTGCCAAGGCCAAGCACAAAAGCAGTGGCTTCAGCTCTGAAATACAGCTGTGCTGGTAGCTGGAGCTGATGTCACCTGAGCCATGCTGTGCTCATCCCTGCAGGCAGCTGAGGAGAGGGAAGCAGTCAACATATCGAGAGGGAAGCTTAAAATCCAGTGCAGAGCTCAGTCCATTTTGCATACTTAGCTAAAGCTGTTGGGTGGGCTGTTGAGGCTGGCAGGCACTGAGAGGCCACAGAACCGGTGACCCGCTGCTGTGTCATTCTGCCACTAGGATGCTTCTGTGCCGACCTGATTGGCTGGGTTTTTTAGTCCTCTTTAATTTATAGTATACAAAAGAAAGTAGCTTCTCTGAATGACAAACTGAAAAGCTCACTCCACATCCCACTAACAGTTCTGTCTCTTTCCCAGTCACTCTTGTGTTTTCTGGGAATTCTGCTCACCCTGCAGCTGGTTGCAAGAAGTTCAGAGGAATTTGTATGATACGTTTACTTCTTGTTTATCTGCCGTTTCGGTTTCCCATGTTAATGCTCAAAGGCATCCCTGTGTAATGGATTTGTGTGGCCAGGTTTTAGTGGGGGGTTGTGGGTGACCAGGGGCTACAAGGGTGATGTTTGTGAGAAGCTGCCAAAAGCTTCCCCCATGTCCAGAAGAACTAATGACTCCAGGATGGACCCACTGCTGGCCAAGGCTGAGCCAGTCAGGAATGATAGCAATGCCTCTGTGATAACCTATTTAAGAAGGAAAAAAAATATTGTGCAGAGGTAATTGCAGCCAGAGAAGAGCAGAGTGAGAATATGTGAAAGGAACATCAGAGTCAATGTAGAAGGAAGAGGAGGAGGTGCTCCAGGTGCTGGAGCTGGGATTCCCCTGTAGCCTGTGGTGCAGACCGTGGTGAGGCAGCTGTCCCCCTGCAGTCCGTGGAGGACCATGGGGATGCAGAGTTCCACCTGCAGCCTGTGGAGGAGACCCACGCTGGAGCAGGTGGATGCCTGAAAGAGGGCTGTGAACCCATAGGAAACCCATACTGGGGCAGAGACCTGGCAGAGACTTGCAGACCCATGGAGAGAGGAGCCCACACTGGAGGAGGTTTGCTGGTAGGACCTGCGGTCCTGTCAGGGTCCCATGCTGGAGCAGCCTATGCCTGAAGGACTTCACTCCGTGGAAAAATGACCTACATTGGAGCAGCTCTTGGATGACTCATGTTGGAGAAGTTCATGGAAGACTATCTCCTGTGGGAGAGACTCCATGCTGTTGAGGAAATGGGAAGATTTATTATTCAAATAATGAATTCTGGGGCCTGACTCAATTTCATAGAATCATAGAATATCCTGAGTGGGAAGTGATGCACAAGGATCATAAAGTCCAGTTCCTGGCCCTGCACAGGACAACCCCAAGAATCACACCATGTGCCTGAGAGCATTGTCCAAAAGCCTTTTGAACTCTATCAAGTTTGGTGCTGTGACCATTCCCCTGGGGAGCCTGTTCCAGTGCACAATCACCCTCTGGGTGAAGAACTGTTTCCTAATATCCAACCTAAACCTCTCCTGACTCAACTTCATGCCATTTCCTTCGGTCCTGTCACTGGTCACCAAAGAGAAGAGATCAGTGCCTGCCCCTGCTTCTCCTCATGAGGAAGCTGTGTCCTTTTCTCCAGGCTGAACAGACCAAGTGACCTCAGCTGCTTCTCATATGGCTTTGTCTCCAGACCCTTCCCCATCACTGTGATTGTCCTTTGGATGCTCTCTAATAGATTTATATCTTATATTGAGCTTCCAAAACTGCACACAACACTTCAGGTAATGAAGAATTTGTTATGAAATAAGTACTGGGTGACTGAAGGTCAAGAAGAACTTGAGTTATTCATAACCTGTGCCTATCTGATTAATTTAGATCTTTGTGCTTTTAAAACAAAATGGGGAGAGGTAAGAATTTATGGCAACAGGAGAGGTTTTTGGTGCTGGCAGGGGGCATTGCTATGGACACCCACCATGGGCTTGAGCAGGCTGCAGACACTGTGACTGCAGCAGCCAGGGCTGTTGCAGGCTGATTCACCTCTCGTATTGATCCAGGAGGATTGCTCTTCTGCCTGCTGGTGTTTGTTGTTCCCAGGTGCTGGGTGGATTCTTCCTCCATCACTGCATTCAGGGGGCTGTCAGACCACAGGGGTTGCTGGGAGAGTCCCCTCATGAGGAATTTGTTGCTCTTAATTTTACCTCCTCTGTGCTTGGCTGAAACTCTTTCCACTCTGAAGATGATGAATTTAGGAGCATGCAAACAGCAGCAGTAATAATTGCCTCCAGTGTGACTGTGCTCATCTCTAAGTGCTCATGAGATGCTGCATGCTGCTGAGGGCTGAGCACATTACTCCCTCTGCACTGCACCTCCAGTGCTGTGGCACCCCACAGTGAGTCTCCCCTGCAGTTAGAAAGTCCCCTGGAGAGGGTGGTACATCCCACAGAGGTTCTCCATTTTAAGCTGATTTCTTGAGCTAGACAGGCTTGAGCTAGACAGGCTTGAGCTAGACAGAGCTCACAAGGCTTACCAAAATGCAGTGAGTCACTCACAGTGTCTGCCCAGGGGCAGTGGACCTTCCCCCACCAAAACCCCACCAGGGATGTAGTGTTAGTCCCAGAGGGACCCTGACAATGAAGTGCTGGTGTGCTCCTTAGCCCAGCCAAGTTGCACAGACCTGGGCATCACATGGGCTGTTGGCATGATGCTGAATTCACAGGATGCCAGTTCCCACCCCGGACACAGAAAGGGGGGGTCCCATTTCCGGATGGGAGGAGGTGAGATGCAGGAGCCTCTCCATCTGGGTAAGAGGATGGCTGGCTGGGTTGAGAAGAAATCATGTTTGATGTCAAATCCACCTGGCTGACCTTGTGCCTGGCCTGGCCCAGCCCAGGTTTCCTGGTCAGAGCACTGAGTGCCACTCCTTCAAAAAGGAGTGCTGCAGGTGGGATGAACCTGGAAAATTGCTCCTCTTCCTTGGTTGCCTTGGAAAAATTGTGTAATGACTGTAGAAATAAGTGGGAATCAATCTAAGACGTAAAAGAAAAGTGCAGTGAGTTGTGTATCTGTATTAAAAAGACTTTAATACCCTCAGAATCCCTATGAGATCTTCATTCTCTCGTATTTAACATTTAAATCATGTCAATCTCTGGGTTTTTCATAGCTCTGAAGAAAAAGAGATTGCCAACCCAGTACATCAAGGCTTCCAAAATATCTATAAATCCTATGCAGGATCAAAGGATTAAAATAGTTTTCAGCCATTTCCTTCAGGTATGGATTTCAAGATTTTCCTTGTTTGTTCTTCTTTGGTACCGTGAACAAGAGATAGGAATCCAGATGCTTGCTTTAAATGCTGCATGTTAAGTACCCAGACCAGGATCTGCCTTGAAGCAGTGTGATTTGTGCTGTGACAGCTCCCCCACTGTGCCTGTGGGATACCCCAAGAAGATGAAACATGGCAGCTGAGGAGGACCAGGACCACCTGCCCTGCCACAAACACACGTCTCTGAACAGGAAAACCTGCGTGGGCTCTGCTGCCTGTGCAGCAGGTGTTGCAGGCTCAGGCTGCACTCTAAGAAGCCTAAAACAAGGTGATGCAGCAAGAGCATAAATCACTGTCAGGAAGAAACAGCTTCTGCAAAACATGTCAGACTTTATCAGACTTCATGTGAAAGCCCACTGCTTCATGCTGCAGCAGTTGATCTTTCTGAAATCCTAAAGGGCAGGAGATAGCAGTCAGCTCTCCAGCCCATGCTCTTTGTGTACATGAGCAATGTCCCTTTGCTTGCCCTTAGGGGTGCTGGGGACAAAAGTGGGACAGCAGCTGCAGGACTGCACTTGTGATGCTCTCGCAGCTGGGTACCAATGTGACTGATGGATCTTTTGGGCAGCCAGAGACCAGGCTGAAGGATCCCCCTGCCCTAGATGTTCCTCTTCCTCTGCTTTGCCACAACTCCTTGACCAAGCCACCAGCTTCTGTTCTCTGGCACTGATGGTTGAGGTTAGTGCTGAGGACATGTCACAGCTTCAGTCTGAAATTTCCACGACTTGAGCAACCACTTGCACAGGTAGTGACCTAGATGTCCCTTGAAAAAGAAGGGACAGTGTGACCAGGGGCATGATGTGAGCACTGCGCATAGAAATATTCCAAACGAATAGAGTGAGAACTCCTCTGGCTGCCTCACTACGGATGGATTGTTCTCTTGTGGGTTTTATTTGAGGTAACTTTCAAAAAGATTGATATGCAGGTACTTACCCATGGCACTACTCCTGTGCCATGCCCTGGAACTCCTGGCTTCAGAGGGGGTATCAGTGCTAATTTGTAAGCAGACAGGATGAACAGACTTTCAGGTGATGACTGCAGCTTGCTAGAGGCCAGGGAACACAGGGCTTAGTGGTCCCTGTGCCTGCATCCTGAGTCCTGTCTGCCAGCCAGGAAGCTGAGTTGGCCATGGCTGACGCATGTGAAGCTATGTGAAGTCCTACAAAATGCAGACTGAAAATAGCCAGGATAAAGGCACTATATAGGAAGGAAATTGCTCACAGGAATTAGCAACTGATTCATTACTGATGTCTTGTTCATCCATGTTTCATCTTCAAAGGGAAAACATCTCCTATACTCTCCCTGCAGACACTGTTTCTGTGTAGCTACTGCTGTTGCGTTATGCTGCTTAAGTAGATTATGATTTTTAAAAAATTCATAAAATATCTTGAGGACTTCAGTGGGGCAGCTCTCTGTTAGTCTGTGAAACAGCTGTGAGACTTTTTCCCTGTCTCAAAAATTCAGCCTCTGTTTCCGCCTAAACAAGCAAAAGACCTGGTGTTCTCGCTCCCCATGGGAGCTAGCACTTTATAGTACTGTATAAGTACTGTAAAGCCAAGATGAAATACAGTTCACAATCATTAGTAACAAGCCATTATTATTCTCTCCAAACACTACAGAATCTGTCAAACCAACCTGCACAAGTCTTAAATCCCAAATGGACAATAGAGAAATCTCGTAGTTTTATGAAGTCTGACTTGAATAGTAAGCAAAAAGTCAGAATTAAAACCCCTGTGAGCTTCTCCTTTCCTCAGATGGTCTCTGTTGGTCATTGCTTGGCATGGCTTTAGGCAAAAGGAAGTTCTAATTAGCCCTTGCACAGTGAAGCTGGACTGATCACTCAGAGTTGCATTATTGTTTGATTTGGTTTTCTTCAGGTGGACACAGATATTAACCTTACAATGGGAGGAGACCAGGCAGAGGTAAAGGAAAAGAGCCAAACTGATGGAGCTTGTGTGAGTTCAGATTATCTAAAGAACTTCTGGCATGGAACCTTTGAAATGACAAAAGAGCATCTTAAAAGGAAGCCCTGTTGCTAAGCGACATGAATTGTTGTGTATAGAGCTCCAGGAAGAGAGGAGAGAAACCTCTATGCTGCTTTCAAGTAAGAAATACTGGTGAGGAGCCATAGCTACATCCATAGTGTGTTTAAAGTGTCCCAGCCTCATCCTGGCTGAGAGGGGCTTTCCATGACCCTTTGGTACAGGGTGGCTGCTGGTGAGACTGTATAGGCAGGTGAGTGCCACCTCTTCTCCTCCACCTGCTGAAATGCAGGAGCAGGCATTTCTGGTCAGAAAGAGAATAATTGGAGAACCCCAAAACTGCCATGATAAGGAAAAGAAACCAGGTCGTGCTCAGCCAGATGCCTTAGGTACTTGAAGTGATATCTCAACAGAGTTTTGATTGCATCAATTAACTTCTCAAGTTTCCCTCCTCTTTCTCCCCATTCTTATTAATAAATTCTTGTCTTTCACACTGATGGTCTTTGCCTGATGAGCATCCCTGCAGCTAGCAGGTAACTGCTGGTTATGACATGGGATGTAACGAGGTAAAATGCATACTGTTCCAGTAGGGAATATGTCAATGCTCTAAATATGTTTTGCCACGGCATAACATTTGTTCCTTTGTCCTCACCATGCTTCAGAGATGGGGCTCTGAAGTTCCTATGCTCGCAGTGATCTTGCCTTTCTTGCCAAGCATGAATCATTGACTGATTTGATTAACTGATGAGAAAACAAACCAACCTCTCTGCTAAAATTCTGAGTTTTTTATGTGGCTGCTGGGAGTTAATACTGAGGTTGGGTGCTGCTAATGAGCCATTTCTATCAGGTGGCTTTGAAATGGTCAATTCTTGTAACTCAGCCGAACTAGAAATGTGGATCTGAAAAGAGTGGTCCCATGCATGCAGAGCTATTCCACAGTGGGGCCATGCCCTCTTTGCTGACTGGAGTCCAACGACCTGGGGCCACCGGTCCTTTCTTCCATCAGATACTTTCTCCAGAAATTCTGTCTGTTCTAATGTCTGCTTTCTTGTGTTTTTGTGTTTTGTTTTTTTTTTGTTTTTTTTTTTTTAATATATACACCAAATACCTAGTCTCTCTTTCCAAAACTCTGTGCAAGGAGAAGAATTTGCGAAATGTTTAGACTTGCTGAGTTTGTCAGATTCAGGTCAGAGACAGGTTGGTTTACGCTTCAGCCCCCTGAAAGATTGCTGGGCAAATGTTCTACACTATTGCCAGAAACTGTCTGCAGGTTGGTCATTAGTCTTTTAAAAGTGTTTCACTTAGCAACTCAGTCTTTGGCAAGGTTTCATTGCCATGAAAGGAAGCACAACAGAGCTTCACACTGCAGCTTATCTTGCTGTTAGTTCTTTGCATATTGCCATCCCTTGAAAATATCAATTGCCTTCAAACGAAAGACAGAAGCAAGCCATAGCCTTCCCTTGTTTTTCGCAGCAAAATTCTCTCTGTGCTCTCCTGGGGTGGCTGGAAGCAGCTGAACCATCACCACCACAGCAGGGAAGGCCTGGGATGGCTAATCTCTGTAGCACAAAAGGAAGGGAGCAGCAGCTGGCCTCCATCCTCCCACAAGTGATGATGACAAAGTCTTGCTAGGATGGTGTTGGCTGATAGTCAGCTCTTCCTCTGGCACTGGGGCCCGTTGCCTAATTACTCCTGCCATCAGTTACAGGCCTTTTCCTCTTGGTGCTTCCTTGCTCTAATTTAACTCATTGCTTATTTTGCTGTTGACTGTTGAGAACAATTGACCCTTTCCCCTGCCTAACATCCTCCATGGTATCTGTGGGCTGTTGGCACTGCAGGCCCTGTCCCCTCTGCTCCATTGCTTCTCTGCCTGTTTGACTCTGGCAGCTGCTGGTCAGAGCTGTCACCTGAAGCTTGTGGAGATGAAACCACGTGTAAAGAAGCGTTCCCAGTACATATGTGCATTGTAGTTTGTCATGCTGTCATGTTGATCCGAGCTGCACTGCTTGGGGCAGACACGTGTTTCTCTCAATCTGCAAGGCACCATGGGATGTATATTTTCCTTAGGTTGTAGAAGAGTGGATCTTAAAGAAACACAAGGGGTTGGGCACTGGCACTCCATTTTAATGAGAAAAGAGGCAGTTCCTGATGCTGTGTTAATGTGATAGAAATAGCAGTGTCTTTCAGTGTTCTGCTGTTTGTGAGTGGTAAGCCTGCCCTGGGCTTGCCTGGCCTGATTAAATGGAACAAACTGGGTGTGGGCAATAGTACTATACAAATAATCTTTTTTACACATGAGCGGAAAAAATAACTCTTCAGAGGAGAATGTTGGGGTGCACAATAGCAGAAAGTAAAATTCCTGTGATCCTGATGAGATTTCCAAAATTTGTCTCCTGTATTATCCTTTTATTTAGTTTTACCTCTTGTTTCTTCTTACAGCTACCTAAGCAGCACCAACAGCAATCTGTGGCTTCCTATTGGACCCAATCTTTCAGAAGTCACACCCACCATTGTGGAGTGAGCAGGATCTTGGGGAGGTTCTTAGAGAGAAGAGGACAGAGGGAAGGACAAAGAGCTGGAGTTTGTAACAGATTTAGTGAGTTGCCTGCTGCCATTTACTTCCAGAAGCCTTCCTTCAACCATGACTGTGTCTAGATTTTCAGTTAACAGCATTTTCCATGGCCTTTCTTGTCGAGGTCCTACTTCAAAACTGCTGTCAATCTGGACCTCATTGCTGCAAGCTGTATGGGATCCCTGGAGTGCACACTGCTGTGCTTTTCTGCTGTTTCAGCTCCCACTCCCATGTGCTGAGTGGGCAGTGTTTGCTAAGGCACTCTGGGATACCCTGAGCATGGCAAGGCAGTGCAGAGTTATCTTCAGGGTAATCCATCTTCTTCACATTATTTAAATCTTTTGTGCACCTTGCAGATGAGTGCTCTTTCTCCTGAGAAGTTTGTTGCATCTATGTTCAGTGATCTATGTTGGCGACCTGTTGATGTCTTGTGTAGTTTATGGGATGTTTGTCAGACCTCTTAAGCCTGATTTTGTCATCATTTAGATGATTCTAAGTAGTGGCAACAGTGCAAAACCAAAAGGACACGTACTTCATGCTGAAATTCACTTCTTGTTCCCCAGGACATGGATCAAACAGACTTTAAACAGAAAGTTTTAAATAAACTTTGTTATCAGAGAGTAAAACTAAGAGTCTGGATAAACAGGAGAATAAATCCGACCATACATTAGGAAAGAGGGAGTAATTATTATTTTAAAATGTAACCTCATGAATTTCTTATCTAAACTGGAATGTCTTTAAAGACAGAAACGCATTTGAGCTCTGCAGTACAACTGTTCCCCCTGATTTACAAGTACATGCACACAGGTACAGACAAAGGGAAACCAGACGACAGACACAAGAAAAAAGTGCTGAGTGAGGTGCAGATGCAGCTGTAAATTAATCAGTAAAGGCAGGGAGTGATGGTGGGAGAGGGGGTCCCTCTGAGACATAGTCTGAAGTGGAGCTCTCTGTGACAGAGCTTGAAGCCACCACACGGCCCTAAACTTCGCCTGACCTCTGAACATGACCATACAGGAGCTGTGTAAATACTACAGTTATATGTCGAAAATCTGATTAAATGTACTAGTTATGCTGGCTTTGCACGTAGATATTTTACATTTTTTTTCAAACCTGCAGCTTGGGCAGAACCTCTGGGAGAGATGGGACAAGCAAAACTGCTGTGGATGGGAACCAAAGCCACTGCTGGCACATGCATTCAGGGAGAAAGTTGCCAGTATTTTCCTACAGCTTTTCTCCCATATAGTCGTCGTTTGCCCCCACTGCTGCTGCTGATTTCCACGAGATGGAGCTATTTTAACATAGCTTTGGTAGCAGCCCTCAGGAAACAAGTAATGCTACTGCTATTTTATTTCTGTGACGATATTTCTGAAGTGGGTAGGCTTTTATGAAAAATCATAATTCAGAAAAAAGCAAACCCCAACAGCAACAGCTGGAGCACGATGCACATTTTGATAGACTACCATCAAAAGGCCTCTTGCAAAAATTGCTGCCAGAGGATGCAGGTAAGCACAGAGCAGCTCTGCCCCACACCGGGGCAGCTGGTGGGGTAGGCACCCAGTCTCACCTCTCTGGAGAGCTTATTTTGCCCTGACTAAGGAAACCTCCAATGCCCCATTGTCCCAAGCACATGCAGAGTGGCCCTTTGACACCTACAGGCCCTTGCCCATGGCCCCAGTCTGCAAACTTCAGTCCTCTGAAGCAGCACATTGCCTTTGTTGAGTTGTGATGACCCTCTCCTGTAGCATTTCTGTCCTTTCTAGTCTATTTTTTTTTAAATCTAGTTGTGTCTGTTTCCATGCACTGCCATCTCCCACTGCAGCACCTGCTTGTTCCTGCTCCACTTTGCTTCCATCAGCCCTGTTTCTCATTGAGTCTCAATGCAGACAAAAAAATCATGTAAATGCTATTGTTCTATTATATATGTCTGCAAACCTCATGGCATGCCTGACTTTTTATCAAGTCATGCCCACAGAGCCAAACTCCTGCCCTTGTTGGGGTATGCTTTTGCACTCCAGCCCCCATAAATAGCAGCAGCTCAGGGAGATGCATTTGTCTGGGGATTTTCTACAAGAGTTGTCAAAATTGGGGCTGGTTTTATATGCAATATTTGTAATGCTTCAAAGGAGAGTATCACGAACAGCCCTTGCTCTCTGCTTGTGTTGCAAGCTGTTTAGGGCTGTGCCGCAATTGCCACAAGAAGCTGATGTTCTCCATTTGCACACAGGAGATAAGTGGTATCTCTGTGACGAGGTGTTACTGGCAATGCATGCCTGCCCTAAGTCCGTCACCACACAGGGAGCCAGTTGGCAAAGGTTTCCCTCCAAAGCAAGTGCCCAGTGCTGGAGTCCAGCTGCTCCCCATGCCTGTCAGGGCAGAAAGCCGGCTGCTGCTTCTCAGCCACACTGCATCTGAAATCCTCACTGCTGTGGGACTCAGCTAAGTTGAAACCACAGCAAGATAAATAAGACTCAGCTACGTAGGCAGGGGGCTGCCGTTGCCAGATCTGGTAACACCGCACCTGTCCAAATTCTCATGTGAAATCTTAATTTGCAAAGACCAGAGCATAAGAGTGTTTGACGATTATTTGGTGTTTTTTTTTTTTTCCAGTACGGTTTAACATCCTTCTTTCCCTGCCCCCAAACCTGTGCTTTACCGTGTAGGGAGCTTTGGGGGAAATATAAAACGCTCTCGTGAGTTCCCAAGCAGAGGGTTGTTCTCTTTGCAGGCACTCCTGAATCAGACCAAAACCTCTGGTACACTGTTGGCACACAGGTGCTTAGCAAGCACCATCTGCCTCTGGCTTTTCCAGACCAGAACAGAGACAGCATCAACCCATTTTCAGTTCCTTGAATCTGATGACGACCCTTCAGCAGCTGATAAGTGTGTCCTGGAGGCCCCAAAGAGCAGACAGCTTTCAACCAGCTCCACTGCTGAGGAGCACCGTGCTGTTTGTCCCACAGCTGAAGTTTGCTCCTCATCCTTCCACTCTCCAGCATGAACTTCTTTTGAGTGATTTTGCTTGAGCCACTTTATTGCACCTATCCCACCTGTCCTTTCATGGAGTCATTAAAATCCTCCAATATGTGTTATTCAAACATATCTTTAGAGGTATAATTTTCATAAAAATATGTGTCTGTCTGTGCATGCCTATCATGTAGTTACTACACTCCACATGGATGTGCCCTTGATATGCTGGCCTGTCTGGCTGAGGTTTGCATGCACACTCAGATGGCTCTGTGGGTCCACAGACTTGCCATGAGCATGTCCAAATAAAAATGGGCATTTGCAATCATCCAAGAAAACATGCAATATGCAAATGTCTGTGGATGTTCAGGGGTGTAATTCTTGGGGATGGCAAAGTGTCCATAGCTCCTTATGGATTTCACTGCTGTGCAAATTCCCTGAGACCAATCAGTCCAGATTCCAAAGGTCCTGACTTGCTGTGCCCCTGGAAAAGCCACCCAGATGGAGAGAGGCAGGGAGGGAGAGAACAGGCTGATGTCAGTGTGTGGGGGCATGGCATAGGCAACACTGGTTCTAGGAGTGAAAAATTGATAAGCCAAGTACGTTATTCTCCTCACATACAGGTCCCTATTTTGGTCAGGTCCACCTTGGAGTGGAGGACAGCCGAGAAGGAATGTCTTGCTTGCCAGCTCCCCTGCAGACTGACCACTCAAAACCAGAGATAGCTGAAATCAATCAGCAATGGGTGCCTACTCATGGACACCAACTGCACACAGAGCAATAAACGATTGTCTTTCTCCACCAGAAAGGAGATGGGGCATGTGATATCTCTTGCTAAACATTGATGTCACAGATATTCATTCCTTTTATGTGAGAAGAAAAAAAATGCTAAAAGGACCTAATAAATTACAGTATAAATATTACAGTGTGAAAGAGCTGGGCTAGAAATTACTTGGACTTGAGTTTCATGTGGCAGGGGTGTGTGTGATTTAGGCTAGCAATTATTCAAGACACAGGGTGTGATTGGACTTTTAGGATTTGAAAGGATTACACATGTTGTAAAATGGGTGTTTAACCTCTCTTTAGTTCTAACTTCAGTTTGTAAACGTTGCAACTAAATCATTGCACCCTTCATCCATGGCATAGTACAAACTGTGCTAATTTTCTTCCACCTCAGCACAGATTAACTGCTTTTCTCCAGGACTATTAAAGACCTCAAAATTACAACTTTTCTGTTTTAAGTAGTCCACACTAGTGTGTGTACACACACAGGCAGGCAGGCATGTGTTTCATAACTGATTTTTGTGCCTGTGACTCACAGCTGAACTATTAAACCATAACACATGGCTGACATCTGGAATTCTCTCAGATATTTTTGTCATTTGAATATCAGTAGCCATGGTTTGCTACTCTCCTTTCCTCCAAAATGTAACTTTCTTTATTCTCAACTCCTAAAAACAGAGCTAGAAGATTTTACTGAGCCTGTTGGTGTCACTTGATCAATATATATAAAATATTTTGTTCAAGTCTGCTTTAAAGGCAGATGTGTTCAGAGAGTTTGGCAGAAAGATCTTACTAAAGAAAGTCTCTGCTTCATCTTTAGGTTTAAAATTGCATACCATGAGAATATTCAGAAAATTCATTGCTTTTGCTCTGCAAGAGCCTGTGCTTGCTTAGACTCACTACCTGTTAGCTAGCAAATTGGGGTAAGAATTGCAGATGGATTGTGTTGGTGTTTGAATATAATTAGTTACATTAAGTCCTCCAAATGAATGTTGCTCATTTGGCTACTTTTAGGGAAAGATTAAAATGTGCTGGTGTTTTCTGTAATGTGAAACTGTTTGTCTTACCTGTGTCTGACAGGGTGTTATGTGCTGTTCCTGGGGCTGTTGGCCGTGGACTAGTATGGTCCCACAGAGATTAGGATTTTTCATTCTTCTTGAAAAATATTGTGGGGTTGCCACTCAGAGTGATGTAACTTAGGATGTGTTAAATTTCACGTTAAAACCAAGGATATAATGAAAACCACAATCTATCTGCCACTGTAACAAGTCTCAAGCAAAAGGGGTGAACTGGGGAAGTTGTTCCTGGCTTTGATTCAGAAAGTCATCTAAGCTTAATTTTCAATCCAGCCCTATAAGCACATCTTTAACTTTGGGGACTGTCTGGCTTTCCATAGACTTTGAGAAGGATATAACAATTCTTCAGTGCTGCTTCAGGAAGAGAGGAGGGGCACTGTTTGAAGACTATGCTGTCCCCTCTCTCCTTGAGAGTAAATATAGTATGTCTTCAAAGCACCTTCTTCACCTGGTGAGGGGCTGCAAAAGAGGGGTGACTGCCACTATGCTAAAGAAGATAATCACAAAGGTTTCTGAGAGATAGGCGTATGAAGGTTTGTTGCAGAGGCTTTCCAGTCTTTGGCTATCAGAGCAAAAAGTGGCAGTGGTGCTGCACCACCATGATGTCTTTGAATGCACACGTGTTGTAGCAGTGAATTAATGTCGTTCACTGTAAGGCCTCTCAGATTCAGCAGGGAGCACATCACACGCAGCACTTGTTCTGTGGCACAGATCTGACAGGTTTAGCTGAGTCTGGTAATCACTTGTCTGTGTGCCTGAGCTGCTGGCTTTCCACATATGTAGTTTTAGAAAATATTCTTAAGCTATTGTGTTTCAGACCTAGTCATGTCTGTTCTATTCACAGCTAGGCAAAATTCACGTCAGTGGTTCAGGAAATAGTTTGTGCTCTGGGGTCTCTGACTGTTACTGCTGTTTAGTAATCACACTGTGCCAAGGGAGTCTGATTGTGACAGACTGTGATACTTAAACACATGATGGCTGTATGAGCATTCTTCCCAGGGTCCTTCGTCCTCATAGCTGCACTTACCCACCGGCTGGGACAGGTGGGCCCACATAACTGTACTCACCTGTCATGATTAAACTGGAGTCCCTTGAACTCCTACAAACTGGCTTCTTCATGAAAAACCTCTGGTACTAAATGTGGCCCTGAGCTGTATGTATCCTTGCAACAAGGTTTTTCAGTGCATATGGATATGTATGCACAGATTCACTAAAGGACCAACCTGATTATCTTCCACAATGAAAAAACTACCTGGATGGATGAGGGAAGAGTACTGGATATTGTCTGCCTCCACTTCAGCAAGGCTTTCAACACTGTCTCTCACAACATCCTCATAGGCGAATTCAAGAAGTGTAGACTGAATGAGTGGATTGAGAACTGGCTGAACAGCAGATCCCAGACAGTAGAAATCAGTGGCACAGGGTCTAGTTGGAGGCCTGTCAGTAAGGGTGTCCCTCAAGGTTCAATGCTGTACTGTTTAACTTACTCATCTATGACTTGGATGAGGGGACAGAAGCCTCCTTAGCAAGTTCACTGATGACACAAAGCTGGGAGAAGTGGCCAATACCCCAGAGGGCTGTGCTGCCCTTCAGAAGGACCTCAACAGGTTGGAGAGATGGGCAGAGAAGAACTGTCTGAAATTCAACAAGGGCAAGGGCAGGTCCTGTACCTGGAGAGGAATAACCCCCTGTACCAGCACAGGATGGGGGCTGATCTGCTGGGAAGCAGCTCTGTGGAGGAGGACCTGGGGGTCCTGGTGGACAACAAGCTGTCCATGAATCAGCTGTGAGGCTTTGTGGCCAGGAAGGCCAATGGTATCCTGGAGTGCATTAGGAAGAGAATTGCCAACAGGTTGAGGGGGCCGATCCTGCACCTCTACTCAGCCCTGGTCCAGTGGAGGGCTACAAAGATAATAAGGGAAACTGGAGCATCTCTCTTATGAGGAGAGGCTGAGGGAGCTGGGACTGTTCAGCCTTGAGAAGAGAGGACTGAGAGGGGACCTCATAAATGTATTCAAGTATTTGAAGGGAGGCTGTCAAGGGGATGGATCCAGGTTCTTCTTGGTGGTGCTGAGCAATAGGTCAAGAGGCAACGGGCAGAAACTGATGTACAGGAAGTTTCACCTAAATATGAGGAAGAACTTCTTTGCTGTGCAGGTGACCATGCACTGGAACAGATTCCCCAGAGAGGTTGTGGAATCTCCCTCGCTGGAGATATTCAAAAACCATATGGACACAATCCTGTGCTATGTGCTCCAGGATGACCCTGCTTGAGCAGGGAGATTGGACCAGATGGCCCATTGTAGTGCCATCCAACCTGACCCACTCTGTGATTCTGTATGTTAATGTGACCCTGGTGACTCTGCTCCTGACTTTGGTGAAAGTACAGGTGGCCCAGGGTAGAGGTGGCAGTGACCAGAGCAGTACCAGCCCATCTGCAACCCAGCGCAGGTGAGACCACCCCAGTCAATCTCCTCAAGCTGGTGTGCAAGTGTGACTGTGTTTAGCTGCTGACAGCTGTGTTAATTGATTATGTGGATACACAAAAATGATGCGATATAAACAGCTATTAAAACTGTGCTGTCAGAATGTCAAAATCAATCTCAATTTTGAGTATGGTCAGACATGCTACTTATTTTCTCATTGTGAGGGTTAGAGCTTATTACTGTAGTCATCTGGTACTTCTGATTGTCAGATTCTGACAAAGTGTGAGACTTTGAGTTGAGCACTTCCTCACCTGATCTCTGAGGTAAGCTGATTTTGCTGGAAAACTTTAGCCAAAATACTTGGCCATTTTTGAGCACAAATCCTGTGTAATAAAGCCTGATGCACACCCTCCCCTGGGGCAATCCAAGCTTGCTTCATCCCTTGGGGTGGCTCAATGGGCCACATGCCCTGAGACTTGCACCAGCCCATGTTGGTGCCTCTGTCACAAACTAAAGTGTGTGCTGTTCTGCAGAGCCTAGCACTGTGCTCCAGCTTGGGGATGGGTGGCTTATGCTTCTCCGGTCTGGAGTGGAATGGGAACAGGGGGGCTGGCTTTGAGTTTGGCCACCACTGAGGATCACAGTTTTGGCTTGCTTCTTGTAAAATGAAAATTTTTACCTCCCACACGTCCTTACCCCTCGTCCATCTCCTCAGGCTGCTGTGAAAATGAACATGTTTTTTCTGAAGCATTCATGTATCGTAGTGGCATGGGAGAAAGCAGGCAGAAATTAATTAGTCTGTCTTCAGAGCAGGGTTTTGGGGATTATAGAAAATAAGCCTGTTAGTCATAATGGAGAAAGTAAAATGCTCTGAACTGGGTCCTCACTCACCCTGGGTACTTAGTGACATGTTTTCACTGGAAAAAAAATTGTAAGATCACATTAATTAAAGGCTATGCCAGAATGCATATGTACAAGGGAGGTAATTGAAGAATGCTGAATGTCTGCCAGTTTGACATTACCTACCTAGCTTGATTTTTCAACCATAGTAATATTTTCATATTTGTGTATTTTTGGGATGCCATATGAAAGAAAAATATTTTAGCCAGATAGCATATTGAGCAGAGTAAATTACAACAGCAGGGTTTCTTGTTACTCTGTGCCTGATCGAGAAAATGCAAAAGGATAGCAAAGGGAGCAAGGAAGCAAGGGATTGTGTGTCATACATAAAAAGGTACTGTAACAGCAGTGATCTGTCTTCCATAGTAACGAAGTCAAGCATTTGGAATAATATGATTTCACAGCAAGACAGGATAGTAGAACTCTGTTGAGCTTAATCTGTATTAGATGGTTGTGAGTTATTCACATGAACCTACAGAAAAGGTTAAATCCTAATTTTATTAAATAGTGAGTCACAGCAGACAGGGGCATCTTCTGGCTCTTCTAAGTTCCTAGCTTTACATGTCTCTAGCTTGTTATTCATTAGAA